GGTTCTCCCACTGCCGGAGACTGACAAAGCCGGGCTGGAAGAGACCCCGGACCAGCTGGCGGCAACCTCTTATGGGGCTGAGTGGGATGATGAGTGTCGCAGGCCCGATCCCCTCTGCTGTGCTTGCACCGGAATGTGGCCCAACAGTTCGTTCCTCCAGTTCCTGAATTTCCTGAAATTGGAAGTTAAATCTAAAGGTTTGGTTATATTCAGGTTAAACATTTTTGGCTGGAATCATCTGTAGGTGATGTTGTGTATTTCATATGGCAGCACGTTAGAAAGTTTATAATGTCTGGTTGTCCCACTACCATTGATACTAATTTTTATTACTAAGTTAAGGTGATGATTGCCAGATCTTTATATTATAACAATATATTTTTCTCTCTAGTTAGCCAGTAATCTCTGAGATGATACTCTCGCACCATGTGAATATTTCTTTTTAAATTTAGTAGACTATATTTTTTTAGAGCAGTTTTAGGTTCATAGAAAAAATGAACAGAAAGTACACAGAGTTCCCAAATATCCCTAATTTCCCACCCCCATCCCCAATCCCACCTCTTCACATAATTTCCCCTAACACCATGCATTAATGTGCATGTTACAACTGATGAACAAATAGTGATCCATTATAATAACTAAAGTCCATAGTTTACATTAGCATTCACTCTTTGTGCTGTACAGTTCTATAAATTCTGACAAATGTATAATGACATATATTTATCAATATAGTACCATACAAAATAGTTGTTTTTTTTTTTTGTCTTTTGTCTTTTTCCGTGTCCGGCAACGGATCGCAACCCTCAGTGTTGCCCCCGTACCGGACCGGGGACCGGCAACGGGATTGCAACCCTCGGTGTTGCTCCCACGCCTCGCTCAGCCAGTGAGCGGGAACCGGTCTGTATGTGGGATCCGAACCCTCGGGTGGGAGCGCCGCCACGCTTCCCAAGCGGCGCACTATCCAGTGCGCCACCGGGCTGGCCCCCATACAAAATAGTTTTAATACAAAAAAAAAAAAAACAACCCTGTGCTTCACCTAAATCCCCCTCTTGACTCCCCTCAAACCACTGGAAACCACAGATCTTTCTACTTTATTGTTTGACCTTTTCCAGAATGTCATATACTTAGAATCATACAATATGTGGGCTTTCCAGGCTGGCTTCTTTCACTTGGCAATATACATTTAAGTTTTCTCCATGTTTTTTCTTAGCTTAATAGCTCATTTCTTTTTAGTGCTGAATACCATTTCACTGTCTGGATGTACCAGTTTGTGTACCTATACACCTACTGAAAAACATCTTGGTTGCTTTCAAGTTTGGCAATTATGAATAAAGACTGAGAGTTCACAATCCTCAAGATGTCTTAATGCACAGCCACAAGTCGCCATGCCGCCATCTGCTGTCCAGGTACAGAGCCAAGAACCTTTGACTGCTTCCAAGTTGGCATCTGTTCCTCCTTCAAGAGCAAAAGCAAATGTTAGGTGAAAAGCTGTTTCCTCTATTCAAGCCATGCATCCTACTCTGCTGGTAAAATCACTGGTGTGTTGTTGGAGATGGATAATTCAGAACTTCTTCACATGCTCAGTCTCCTGGGTCTCTTTGTACTAAGGTTGATGAAGTTACAGCTGTACTACAAGCCCACCAAGCTAAAAAGGCTACCCAGAAAGAGTTAATGATGCCACCGGTGTTCCAACTGTCTGACAGTGATCAGGGACTACAAAAAGAAACTCGTATTTCACTGAAGAAAAATATCTAAACACTGAAAACCTTAAATATTATGGAAAAAAAATTACGAAGAATAAAATAAATTTAAAAAGAAAAGGAAACCAAACTTTATGTACAAGCAAATGGGAGGTCTAGCAAACATAATGCTATTCATAGATTACTTACTAATTTGAAAGCACAAAAAAATTTCCCTAAAGTAGTAAAATGTAAAAATACATGAATGTTTTCCAAGACTCTAGGAAAAAGTATTTTCAGCAAAGTACAAAAATTTAAAGCAGTTTTTCTTTAATTTTGTAATTCTTTACTGTTGAATAGCTCAGAATGTTACATCTGTTTTAAATAATAGAACTGATAACTGAGCAAGAAAATGTAACTTGGATTATAAAATTCTTGCGTTAATAAAAATTCCTTAAACAGTGAAAGAATGAATGAGAGTAAACAAAGGCACATTTGATAAATTTGTAAAGAACTAGTCATATTTATTTGTTTAAATAATACAATTCTCAAATATTGTTCACATGATTAACTGGTTGTAATTTTTAAATGACATTAATAAAGTTAATTTTTATTAAAAGTTTATGTAAATAGAAAACTTAAAAAGAACAGATATAACAATTTTCCTCCTAATTAAAAACACAGTTCTTCATTCTGAAAATGATTTATCTTTTATTGAGATCAACTTTCTATTTTAAAATCTAAATCTCTTGTGAATGTAAAATACTGTCTTGTGAATGTAAATATATTTTTATTGTATTAGTGACAATGATATGCCTTTATGTTTAAAAAGTCAAAACACTGGTGCAGTTTAAATTTTTAGAATTTGAGTACTAGAATTAAAATGGTTGAAAATGAGGCATGGGGTGTGTGCTATGTTGTAAAAGTATAGAAGAAAATGCCACTAGAACAGTAGCTATTTTATGTTTTTCCAGAGTTAACTGCGTGTGTTTGAACTTTTGGCTGTTTAGGTGATATACTTTGTGGAAGGCCTCAGTCCTAATAGCAATAAAACATAGTTCTGATTGCCTTAAATTTTAGTTGCTTCACTTGGCAAATTTATGTGTAAATTTCACATTCTGTGCTTATTTCAATACCTTGCTTGCATAGAAGGGGGAAAAGAGAAACCAAAGTAATGTTCAGTTCTTGCACTGGGTTTTTGCCAAAGAAGTCTGAACAATTTCCAAGAAGCCATTCAATAAGTCCTTTTTTTTTTTCCTTTTTGTCTTTTTTCGTGACCAGCAACGGATCTCAACCCTCAGTGTCACGCCCGTACCGGACCAGGACCGGACCAGCAACGGGATCGCAACCCTCGGTGTTGCGCCCGCACCTCGCTCAGCCAGTGAGCGGCCGGTCTGTATGTGGGATCCGAACCCTCGGCGGGAGCGCCACCGCGCTCCCAAGTGGCACACTGTAGCAGTGCGCCACTGGGCCGGCCCAATAAGTCCTTTTAAGAAGCTTTTACATGACCCTTCTAACTTTAAAATAAGAAATCAACTGAAACTGCACTTTGCTTGTGACAGGTTCTACATTAGCACAGCAGATTTCAACAGCTGGAATTGAAAAGTAGTTCTATATTACTAAGGAAAAGACAATCTCATATAGACAGTAGTCTATTAATCCTTCATTTTTGTAGGCTGCCTTCAATGCCTAAAATTTTAAATATTAATTGAAAAAATATATCGTTTATTTACATTTGTTATTTTATTTCTCTTAACAAAAACTACAGAAATTGTTTGACCTAAAAACTGCTATACCAGACTTTCATTTTAAGAGTACTGCAGAAGTAATACAAGATTACCTTTGGTTCTTTCATTTAACATTATTTATTCAGGTAGTCAACTAGAATTTAAAATCTATTTAGTTGATCCCAAGTTGATGTATTTTAGTCCTGTCATATATTTTTTGTTCTTTTTTTGGTGATTTTTTAAAAAATTATTATTTTTATAATAAGTACATTTGAAGATGTTGTTGGCGGGGAGACTGGAGGGGGATTGGGGCTGGCCCATGGCTGGCTCCATCACTGGCCTGGTTGTGGCTCCACCACAGCCCCCTGCCTCAGGACCACAGGGGCTTCTGGTTCCAGCTCTGGTTTGGTTGCAGTTGGTGGTAGGCAGGCCTAGGCCCATGGCCCCCTGTCTGATAAGGCCACAGGGGCTTGTGGCTGGCCTGCTTGCGGTAGGCAGTGGGTGGGGCTCTGGTGATCTTTTTAATTGAATTACTCAAGCGATGAAGAGTTCTACTCTTCCTATTTGGAAACAGGCTATCTTATCATGTTTAATATTCAAGGTTTTTTTCTTTCTGTCATTACATTCATTTAATTTTTTATTATGCTTAGTTTGTATGATCATATCAAATTCTGATGGATTGCTTTAAATGTTCTTAGAGTATTTACAGATTTACTTTGTTCTTGAAATATGTAAATACTAAGAGAACATTCCGTTTAATATTGTTTTTATTAAACTGACCTTGGAATAAAAAATCAGAGGTGAGCCCTGTAGTGATACCACATATTTACTAAATCCTGGGTTCTATATATAGTCCACACATATCTGTACTTAAAAATTTTTCTGTCATGTGAGATAATCCAGTAAAAGAAGCAGGCAGGTGATGGCAAATAAGCTTTTTAATGATGTTCAAATCCTGACAATTCCAATTTTATTTTACTTGGTTCATGATGGCGTGTAAGTACTTTGGGCCCCAGTATGCCAATAATTAGAGCTCCATTTGGAGCTGTGATTAAGATGGCTAAAAATGCTACTGTCAGCACATCCTTTGAATACGATTCCAAGTGGGGTGCGTAGATTTTTGCTGTTTCTAGAGCCAGAGGACCTAATACAGCCTGCATTTAAGAGGAAAAATGGGACATAAAGAAAAATGTCAAAGAGTTAACATATAATAAAAGTCAATGGCTCTGTTAAAATAAACAAGAAAACCTATTACTGGACTATTAGAAAGAAAGATGACTAAAAATGCTGAGTAATTTTCATAAATTGTTCATCAATTTTATGATCTTCCTAGCAAATATATCTGGAGGAAGAGTGCAATAGTGACAAATGAGCATGCAGAAATTTGGGGGCTGATTTTTCACTCTTGTCCTCTCAGCTTTCCCCTGTTTATCTCTTTTGAGTGCTTATATTACCCTCAGAACCTCAGGAGTTCTAACTGAGCCAGGGTTTTGCTTAGTTGCCTGTACCATGTACCTCTAGGTTCTTGGCTGAAACATGACAACACAGAATACTAAGGTTTCTTAGGGTTCTCTAGGATTTGTTGCTCTTCTTCTCATTGCTTTTCCCACTTGGGAGGCAGAGTGATACAGTAGTGCTGACAAGAGGTTTGGAATCCAGCAGACCGGGTTTGGGTGCTGTTTTTGCTGCAACCAGGTGAGTGATCTTGTACTCAAAGGTGACTCAAACTCTCTAAACTTCTCATTACTTAGCTATAAAATGAACAACATAATACTTACCTCACTGGAGGGTTATGAGGATTAAATATAAGAATGAAAAGAACACCTGGTGCATAGCAGTTATTCATATAATAGTAAGGTTCTCTCCCTCCCCCCTCACTCCTCATCCCTGCCTGTCAGTGATAAATTCCTTTGAATTCTTTGTTGTTGAATGAACCTACTGGGTCACAATTTTTTTTTCCCCAGGTATCTTCTATCATATTTATTTTAAATGACATAAGTAAATTTCCTGCTAATCCTCTTCTTTGTATTTACTCATCTAGGCATAAAATTGCCTTAAAATGTTTAGGGATTAAATACAAACACAAATATATGATATATTTTCTATGGATTTGCAGAGTAACAGCATAAACATTACCTCTGGGACATTATGGCAAAAGAACCCCTCAATTTAAGATCGGTTTCCATATCCCAAATCAATGATTAAAAGTGGTATAGTTTTTATATGATAACTTTTTGTTTGCTTAACAAAAGCCAGTGTGCTAGATGTGAGGGAGAAAAAGATAAACCAGACAGAAAACCAACTCTAAAGAATCTCACAGTTTAGAAAGAGGATAAAAAAATGAAAGAACTGTCAAAAATCATTGGTTTTTAAGAGATGATGATGATAATGATGAAACTAATAACAATAATATTTATACTGATATATTGCATTTGTCATATGGCAGGTATCATTTTTAAAGCTTTACCTTTATTAACTCACTTAATCCTCATGACACTTAATCCTTAACCCTATTATATGGGGACTACTATTAGATGCTAAATGATTTCTACCTAGTGACTGAGATTTAATATTATTTTTTAGAGTATAATTAGCAAACTGATCTTACATTTGTGAACTAAGTTTTTTATTAGCCCTCTTAATATCTTCCATTTTCCGCTCTAATTTTCATCAGTATCTCTAAACAGATGAATAAGAGAAAGGACTGAAGCTTAGCCAATTTTGTTTCAGCATTAGAGAATGGAGGAAGAGGATAAAGTTGAAAAAACTTAAATTTAAAATTTTAAATATTTGTTGTTCCAATTCATTTGTACCATTATTATCATCTGTTGTTGCTGTCGTGACTCTCTACTTGCATAAATAATTAATTTTATATGTACTACCAGTCCTGGGAACTAACTTGGTATTCTTTGTGAAAAGACAGCCTGAACTCAGTAGAAAGGAGCAGGCAGAAGCAGAATAATACTGCAGGACTTGATGAGGTAGTCTCTTTCCTCATACCTGCTTCTCCACCCACCCCACCCCCTCCCTATGTTTTATGAAAATTATGAAATAATAAAACAAAATTGCAAGTGTATTGTTGGAAGGAAAGAGAACAAAGGGATGGATAGATACTCCTTTTGTAGATGTGTTATTCCCTACAGCAGAGATTAAAAACAAGTTATTATTTTTTATTACTTTAAGGTAGGATAAAGTAACAACAACATTGTTAATGAGCACCACCACGTGCCAGACATTGTGCTAAGCTCTTTATATGGATTATCTCATTTAATCTTCAACAATACCATTATGAAAGATAAAATCATAGAACTCACAGTCAAATGAGGAAATCGAGGTACTGAGAGATAAGGAAGTAATCTGTCTAAGGTTATAGGCAAGTAACATGATATTCAAAACAGGCAGTCTGGTCCTATGGGCCTGCTTTTTTAACCATGATATGATGATAGAGAATTTTGTTGCACGGAATCTTACAAGCTTCTGTTTTGGAATAACAATGGAGAAAAGAATCCTAGGAAATTAAAGTATTATGCTGCCAGGTTAAACTGACTAATAATAAGTAGTAATATCTTTCAGTAAGAGGGGAATATCACTGAATCAGAGGGCAAAACTATAAGGTCTCCCTTTTCATTCATTCATCCTTGTAGGCATGCAATGCATATTTACTTCCTGCATGACAGGCTCTATGTTAACTGCTAGGGAAAATATTTGGAAAAATACAACACAGATACTGTCTCTGTTCTCCCTATATAGTATATTGGAGGGATTCAGTCATTAATTAAATAGTCATACAAATAAATGTATAATTAAAAATAATATACTTGCATATGTGTGGTAGAGTGAGTGACAAGGATAGAAAACATATATTTTTAAAAAACCAATATGTCTCTACTTTAAAATCATAACATTTAGTTCTATAATATTCAGCAAAATATAAAAATTCCAATTTCAGATATATTTTATTTTCTATTTTAGAAAAATAAAAAAATATTTTCATAAATTTAGGAAGTATTTGTCATTAAAAGTACACTTCTTGATTTCAGAAAAATTGCTTTTAAAACATATTTTAAATGGTTACATTAATGTTAACGAATTGCTATGATCAGCCAAACATTTTTAAAGTAAGGCTAATAGCCCACATTTTGTGATTAGAGTAACATTTTTCATTTAGGATTTTAAAAAATCATTAAAACTAAAATTATTGGAATGACTTAATATGTTCTTACCTGGACTGTAGCCTTGGGAATCCATGATAAAGCAATAAATATTTTCTCCTTACAACTAAAACCAGCACAACACATCAACACATAAGTAGTTAAAATTCGAACACATAGTGCCAAACTCAGGATAACAACACAAACGCCTACAACAGAAAAACACAAATACAATAACAGAATATTGGGGAAGAAGTGGTTTTTGATGTCTAGAGATATTATTTCTAAAACTTCTGAATGCATTTTAAGGCTGTTGCTTCTTTGTGTCTTTATTTTTTCAGTAAAAATAATAATTATAAAAAATCAAATATGATTGAAGCTTCTACGTAAAGTGTAATAGATTATCTCACGAGGAGGTACCGTGAAAAATAGGACAGATGACATTCATTCAATTCTGAACTCATAGACTATTTTTAAATACATTTAAATGAAAGTATTGAAAAGGTGTTGCTGGTATTTAATATTTCCCCTCTCAAAAAGAAATCTTATCTCCATTTCCTCAGATTACTCAGGGAAGGCATTCAGAGCTGTCTTTGATAATAAAAGAGCACACAGTATCAAGGAGGAGCAAATCTGTTACCATATCAACATGAGTTTTTTAAAAAAGGTTCTTATTATTGTAGCCATTCAAAGAAAAATCGTATATAAAAATAAACAGTATTCATAGTTTTCTTAAATATTTCTGAATCTTATATTTTTTTGTGTGCTAATGATTCTTACCAATCGTATTTGATTTAAGAGAAGAAACAGACACTTCTGCTCCAACTAAACCAAAAAGAAGAGGTTGAAAAATATTCCATGCAGTTGCCATAATTTTTTGGACTGTAATCTGTGGAAGAGAAATACATTTATAATTTATTGTGGTACATAAAAAGATAATTGCATTTCAGAAATTTAAAGTCATTCTTAACATTTAATAAACTTAAAATATTTTATTTTTAGGAGAAATGTTAAAACCTAATAAAAATTGGTTAATTCTTTTACTTAAACATTTAGGTAGAATTTGATGAAAATAAACCTACAAAGCTATAAAATATACAAGATTATTTGGTCATTTAGTCACAGAATAAGTGAGTTTTTTTTGAGTTTCAGGAGTCTTCAGTATGAGTTCTAGCTTTTGTTTATAAGGTAACTGAGCAGAGATAGAACTACATCATGTTTGATGAGAACATACCCATCTCCCGCAAATATGTAGACTCTCAGAAGGGAGTTGGGAAGACTTCCACTAACAAGTATCCTGGAATCTAATTCCATGAAAGTGAATCTTGATATGCCATGGGTTACTAGGAAAAAAATTCTGGTAGTCTCTTAGGACCCATGCTGAATACCTCAAAGTTATTTTTCCTTAGAAATAAACTAAATACGTGTATTAGATTCTTATTTGGTTGCCTGCCCAGTTCCACTTTCCGGGAGCAAATCGTTCGCAGTGACACTTCCTCAATTAAAAGGTAACAGGATAGAGCATGGTGTTATAATACCAAGGGCAACGGTTTGGATCCCCATGCCAGCCGCCAAAAAACAAACAAACAAACAACCAACAACAAAAAACCCCTAAAAATCCCAAAACCAAAAAAACAAGAAAGGTTACAGGAATGGCCCCTACTGGCATAACAATACGCTGATTCTTCTCCAGGAATTTGGATGAAGAGATTTCAGTCTCAGTCTGGGCTTATTTATCTTTTTTTACAGGAAATACAGAAGAACTTTAATGTCCCTTGCTTGAGGCAAAAATTATCTTCATAACTATTCCCCTTATGACTGGGTTTTCTGATTGCCATTTACAAAAGTAAAGTTAAAAAAAAAAAAGAAAAAACAGTATTACTATTTCATCTTTATAGCATATTATCCTGCTTATTACTTTTAATCTTTAAAACCTATTTATTCTTTTTGTTTTATTTACTTTATCATATAAAAATAATTGCAGTAGTTTTTTTTTTTTTTTTTTAAAGATGACCGATAAGGGGATCTTAACCCTTGACCTGGTGTTATCAGCACCACGCTCACCCAGTGAGCAAACTGGCCATCCGTATATGGGATCCGAACCCATGGCCTTGGTGTTATCAGCACCGCAATCTCCCGAGTGAGCCACAGGCCGGCCCATAATTGCAGTAGTTTTCATTTTATTTATTTAATTGCATTTCATTCATTTTTTTTTTTTTTTGTCTTTTTCTGTGTCCGGCAACGGATCGCAACCCTCAGTGTCGCCCCTGTACTGGACCGGGACCGGCAACGGGATCGCAACCCTTGGTGTTGCTCCCGCGCCTCGCTCAGCCAGTGAGCGGGAACCGGTCTGTATGTGGGATCCGAACCCTTGGCGGGAGCGCCGCCGCGCTTCCCAAACGGCGCACTATTGCAGTGCGCCACCGGGCCGGCCCCACATTTCATTCATTTTTAACCATTTAATTTCTTTTATAATTATGGTTACATTGGAATACTAAACAAAATTCCAATATGATTTTTGGGTACGGAACTTCTCAAAATGATTCTAAAATTTATCTAAGAAAGAATATTTCCTAAGCAGGATAAGGTAAGAAATACTTCAAAAAAGAGTACAGTGAGGGGGTAACTTCTAAATTAGATTTTGAGATAAAACTGCAGTAATTTAAAACAGAGTAGGTATTGCATATAAATAGATAAGGAGGATTAAATAGATTCCAGAACTTACATATGTATGTGACATTTAGTTCTTGTTAAAAGAAGCATTTAAAATAACTGAATAATTAATGGATTAGTCAATAAATGATTTGGTGAAAATTTACTATACAATTCATATGCATATATATGTAAATATTTATTATATGTAAGTATATATGTGTGTCCATGAACACATACACACATATGTGTATATATATATCTTTACCTTAAAGCATTCACAAAGATAAATTCCAGATGGATTAAAGAATTAAATGCAAAAACAAACAAAAACTACCGAAGTATTAGATGACAGTATAGAAAACAGGAAGTCTTTCTTAAACATGATGCAAAATCCAAAACCAAAAAGGAAAACTGATAGGTTTGGCAAAAAGAAACAAAAGACATACAAAAGACACTGTAAACAAAATTGAAAATAAGCAGAAATTGTATGCTATATATATATATATATATATATATCAGAAATTGTAAATATATATATACACCAAAGGATCGATAGCCCTAACATATAAAGAAACTCTATATGTTTTATTAGAAACAAAAATGCAATAGGTAGTTAAAAAGGAATATATGAAGAGAAGCTTACCCACCACTAGTCAGAGAAATGTAAAGATAAAAATGTCATATAGTTTCTTACTCATCTGAGTGTAAATAAAAATATAATTAGTGAAAACATTTCCAGTGTTGTTGATAGGTTGAGGTATTAGGCCCAGTCTTACACTGTTGGCAGGAGTGTAAATAACTAAAATATTTTGAAGGGATAATTTGGCAGTACCCATCAAAATAAAAATAGACCATTTCTTAACCCAGTAATTCCTTTTCTAGGAATCTATCCATACAAAAGTACCAGCATATATGCAAAAAGACATATGAACAAGACTGTTCATGCAGTAATGTATTTAACAACAAAAAATGGAAAATATCTAAATGTCTACAAATACAGAACTGGTTAGAAGAAATTATTTACTTTGGGAAGGGGGTTTGATATTTGGTAGTGATGAGGGATAAAAGAATCTTTCACATTTTATTCCATATGTTTTAATCTTTTATGAGCATATTTTCATGGTTTAATTGTATAACTGAAATTTTAATGAATAAAATAATTAAGCTAATAAAAATTATATAATCATATTACATAAAACTTGATAAAATATAGAAGCCAGATGTGATAACTTCTGATTGCATGCTAGTGTATTTCCAGGTAGTTTTCCTAAATATTTTATTTCCTTCATTGATTCATATACTTCTGTGAGGACACAAAAACTTTTGGGATATCTACCAACTAGGCAGAAGGATTTTCCTAAATGTCCGCTATAGATGTAAAAAAACTCAGTTATTTTATCTTTTTTTTTTTAAATGATGTATTAAAAATATTCACCTTTTCTGCGGCCCACTTTGTCCCTGCAATGAAAGTCAACACTATTGTGCATAATCCTCCAGATGCATGTAAACCAATACGATGGCTGCCTAAGACAGCAGAAACACACATACTCAAAACAAGGCAGGCTCTCTTCAGTGGAAGTTTTGTCTAGAATTAGATTGATATTTAAATATTAATCTATGTTAAATATATAATGCAAGATTTGACATTATCTACTATTTATTTTTGACCCTTTGATACCATGTCTGGAAATGTTATATTAAATAGTGTCTAAAATTTTGATTTTCTTCCTCACCAAATATTTTAGCAGACTTGCTACCAAGCAACAAAATTTGCAGTTATTGAAGTTTCATTTTCTGCCACATCTCTGACACTAATGTCAGTAGAGTGGTTACACTAATTTAACTGTAGGTGGAGAAGAAAGGAGAGTCCTATAGAACCATCAGTTTCATATAGCATAACCAATAAACTCTTGGAAATAAATTTTGAATATCTCTTTTAGTCAACATAATTGTTACAGGTAAATTAGAATGGAAGTTATAGAAATACAGGAGTAAAAGCACATCCTTTAGGGCAGGAAATGGTTAAGTTTAATAGTGTTGCCTTTGTCAAAGAAAAGTGGCATCAAATTTAAGTCAGAAAATACAGAGATAAATGGGAACTGATTTCCCCAAAAAATGTTTAGTGAAAACTTTGGAGGAAAAAAAAAGATTAGAAAAAATTGTCAAACATCAATAGGCAATTTAGTGGAGAAAGGGGTGAGGCAGAATGGAAAGGCATATTCTGAGTTGAATACATTTTTCTGGTATTCTGTATTTGCCAAATCAAGAAGCAGAGACTTCAGTCCAGGCCATTGACCTTTATCAATCATTACTGTGTTCAATTTTAAGCACAGAGTAGGCATCAGAGGGTACTTTTGGGGAAAGAGAGTTAAGTATTAAATTTAATATTTCATGAATCTTCCCAAAGTTCAAATTTTTGAAAGAAATGCATAATACTACACTTCTACAAAATAGATTAATTTTTTAATTACCTGATCTCCACTTGGAAAATATCGAACAAAAAACCCCAAAATTGTTCCTGCCAGCACACCAATAACCATGTCCCGTAAAGAGGATAGGAAATTGTTAATTATGCCACCTGTAAGGACACATAATAAAAACATTTCACAGAGAAATATTTTCACATATACTACACATGAGAAAATCAAACCTTGGTGATTCATGAAGAAAGGTAAGCATTTTATAGAAAAAATATATGAAAATGGACCTTTAATAGTGACAAACATAAAAACATATATAGATCTCTTTGATAAATTAAATAAGTACTGCCAAATAATTTAGTATACACTTATAACTCAGAGATGTCCTTTGTATAAATAGGCCAGAAACCAAAGAAGTAATAAGCCACAAACTGCTCTCCTTGCACATCGAACCAGAAAGACTGGGTGAGAGAGAAGAATGAAGAGAGACTGACAAGGGAGCACCTGTGGCACTTAGCATATGGCTGGTAAGGGCTATATTAACGATTCTTCTCTGACATACCATTATGAAAAAGAAACAAATGATTCAATAAAAAAATTACCAACAATATAAAAAATTTTATTCCAGTGTCAATACTAGAAATATCTAACGTCCAATTGGGTTTCCAATGTATTTTATATCCATGGATATTATATATCCATATTTGTAGTTCACTGTAATAAGTAAAAACCAAAACATAAGCAAAAAACTGATCCTGAGTTACAAAAAAAGTTCAATTATGCTCTGGGTATTGGACTTGCTAAGGTATGTAAGTATATATTTTAGAAATTTTTTTTTCATTAAAAGCAATAGAAACAGACTGACATCAGCAAGATGGCAAAATGGGAAGCCCCAAACCTTAAGCCCCACCACAGAGACACCAAGTGAACAACAATATATGTTCCAAAGCCTTTACAGAACTCCATAAACCAATTAAAAATTTGCAGTACCCCAGACAAGCACAAAGCTAAGAACAGTGGCATGGAAACAAGAAAAGCTGTTGCATTATACTTGTGATAGCCCTTCTCCAGACTGGCACAGGTTGGCATGATTGGGAGAAAACACCCAACTTACAGCTTCTCTGTTGGGGTGAGAAGAGTGGAGCATTTTGGAGAGGTTGCCTGAGGAATGGATCTCTTTCACCTGACTTCCACCCCTCATAGTTTGGGTGCCTGGGGGCCACTGAGAACAAAAGCGAGGTCAGAGACATGAGCAGCACCAGAGAACCTGCAGTACTACAGACAGACACCAGATTCAGCAAGAGCTTCAGAAAAAGAAACAGGCAAATCTAATTGGGATATTGCATGCATAAGACCAGAGAAGATGCATTCCCAGAAAAGGTGTGAGAGGCCCCCAAAATCTATAGCCAGGCTGACTGGTAAAGATTTTCTGTATGAAGTCAGTTGATAAAGACTGGGAGAAGTGGCAGTTTTTTCAAATGCCTAACACCTCACAAGAAAATAACAAAACATATGAAGAAACAGGGAAACATGACCAAATCAAAAAAGCAAAATAAATCTCTAAAAACTGACATTAAATAAATGGATATCTATTAATTACCTGACAAATAATTAAAAATAACTGCCTTATGGAAAATCAGTGAGAACATGGATAGACAACTAAACAAAATCAGAAGGATGCATTGAACAAAATGAAAATATCAACAAAGAGATAGAAACTATAAAAAAGAAACTTACAGAAACTCTGGATCTGAAGAATATAATAACTGAATTGAAAAATTCATATAGGGGATCAACAGCAGACTTCAGAAAAAAGAATGAGTGAAATTGAAGACAGGTCATTTGAAATTACTGAGTTGAGGAGAAAAAAAATGTAGAAAAGTAAAAGAGAGCCTGAGGGACTTATAGAATGCCATTAAGTGAACCAATTTATACTTTATGGAAGTACCAGAAAGAGAAGAGAAAGATAAAGCGGCAGAGAGCCAGTTGAAGAAAGAATGTCCAAAAACTTCTCAAATTTGAGAAAGAAAATGGACAAATTAAAAAAGCTTTAAAAACCCCAACTATGATAAACCGAAACAGACCTACAATGAGACACATTTTTTTTTTCCTTTTTGTCTTTTTTCGTGATGGGTAACGGGATCGCAACCCTCAGTGTTGCGCCCGTACCGCGACCAGCAATGGGATCGCAACCCCTCGGTGTCGCGCCCGCACCGCGCTCAACCAGTGAGCGGACCGGTCTCTATATGGGATCTGAACCCTCAGCGGGAGCGCCGTCATGCTCCCAAGTGCCGCACTCTACTGAGTGCGCCACCGGGCCTGCCCAAAGACACATTTTAATCAAACTGTTAAATGTCAAAGACAAAGAAAGAATCTTGAAAGCAGCAAGAGAAAAAAAAGCAAGTTGTTATATACAATGGAGCTGCTGCAAGATTCAGCAGAAATTCTACAGAACAGAAGGTGGGATAATACATTCAAAGTGCTGTACAGAAGGTGGGATAATACATTCAAAGTGCTGACATAAAAAAACAAAAACAAAAACAAAGCTGCCAACCAAGAATAGTATATTCAGCAAAACTGCCCTTCAATAATGAAGGGAAACAAAGACTACCCCAAATAAATAATAGTTGAGGGAGTTTACCACTAGACCTGTCTTATGGGAAATGTTAAAGGGAGTCCTTCAAGTGGAAATGAAAGAGCATTAGACAGCAAAACAAAAGCTGGCAAAATTTAAGCTCTTCTGGTAGAGGTAAAATATAGATGAATGCAGAATTCTGTAATACTCGTAATGGTGGTAACTATCACTTTTAATTCAAGTATAGAATTTAAAAGATAAAGCACTAAAATTAACTTTATTAAAGTATGTGAATGGATATACTATATAAAAAGGTGAATGTGTGATGTCAATAATCAAGTGGGGACAGGGAGCTGTAAAGGAGCAGCATTTTGTATGAGATTGAAGTTGTTACCATTTAAAAACAGAATTACATAAAATATAGTTATAACAATCTGTGTTAACCACAAAGAAAAAATTTATAGAAAATACAAAAATGAAAATGAGAAAGGAATCAAAACATGTCACTACACAAAAATCAATGAAACACAAGGGACAAAATAGCTATAAGGTGCACAGAAGACAATTAACAAAATGACAATAGTAAGTCCTTCTCTACTGGTAATTACTTTGTAAATAAATAAATTCCTCAATAAAAAGATTGGCAGAATAAAAAAATAAGATCCGAATATATGCTGTCTACAAGAGACTCACTTTAGATCTAATGATACACACAGGCTGAAAGTAAAAGGACAGTAACAGATATTCCATGCAAATGGTAATGAAAAAAGATCACGGATGTTCATATCTATAACAGACAAAATAGACTGCAAGTCAAATACTGTATGAGAGCCAAGGACATTATATAATGATAAATGGGCCAATCACCAGGCAAATATAACAATTATAAATATATATGTAGCTAATAGCAGAACACCCAAATATACAAAGCAAACATTGACAGAATTGAAGGGAGAAATAGACAGCAACATCCTAACTTCAATGCACCACTTTCAATAATGGATAGAACAACAAGTTGGAGGAGAGGACTGAACAACATTATAGACCAATTGGACCTAACTGACAAATACAGAACACTTCACTCACCCAATAACAGCAAAATACACATTCTCCTCAAGCACACATAAAACCTTCTCCAGGATGACATGTTAGGCCACAAAACAAGCCTTAGCAAATTTAAGAAGACGGAAATCATACCCAGTATCTCTTTTGACCACAATGGAATAAAACTAGAAGTGCATAGTGGAATGAAAACAGGAAAAGTAATAAATATGTGGAAATTAAACAATACACCCCTACACAAACAATGGGTCAAAAATGAATTCACAAGAGATATTAGATAATGTCTTGAGACAAAAATGAAAATACAACACTTCAAAACTTATGGGATGCAGCAAAAACAGTACGAAGAGGAAAGTTTATAGAGGTCAACACCTACATTAAAAAAGAAGAAATAAAAATTAAAAAATAAAAAAAGTAAAAAAGAAGAAATATGTCAAATCAACAACCGAACTTTATACCTTAAGGAACTACAAAAAGAACGAACTAAACCCAATGTTAGCAGAAGCAAAGAAATAATAAAGGTTACAGCAGAAATAAAATACAGAATAGAAAAAAAGAGAAAAAAAATGAAACTAAGAGTTATTTGAAAGTTCAACAAAATTGACAAACCCTTACCCCGATTACCTAAGGAAAAAAAGAGTGAAGACTCAAGTAACAAAAGTCAGGAATTAAAGAGGAGACATCGCAACTAATGCCACAGAAATAAAAAGGATTACAAAAGTCTGCTAGGAACATTAGACACTGATGAATTTGATAACTGGAAGAAATGGACAAATTCCCAGTAACATACAACTTATCAACTAAATCATTAAATAAAAAATATGAATAGATCTATAAATAGTAATTGGATCAAAACTCAAAAACATCTCAACAAGAGAGAGACTAAGGCCAGATACATGACTTGGCTGTGGAATTCTATCAAATATTTTAAAAAGAATTAATAACAATCCTTCTCAACCTCTTCTAAAAAAGTAAGAGGAGAGAACACTTCGAAACTCATTTTATGAGGCCAACATTACCCTGATACAAAAGGCAGACAAAGATGCTACAAGAATAGAAAACTACAGAACAACATCCTTGATGAATATGCAAAAATCCTCAACATAATACTAGCAAACTGAGTTCAATAGCACATTAAAAGGATTATACATCATGACCAAGTGGGATTTATCACTGGAATGCAAAGGGGTGCAAAATGATTTTTGTATGAGTATAACATACAAAAATCATTCAGTGTAACATAGCACATTAACAGAATGAGGGACAACAACTACATGATAATCTATCTCATTTGATGCAGAAAAAGCATTTTGCAAATCCAACATGCTTTCATGATAAAAACACTCAACAAACTAAGCATAGAAGAAAATTACCTCAATAGAGGAAAGGCCATTATGAAAAGCCTACAGCCAACATCATACTCAGGGGTGAAGAAAGCTTTTTTTATAAGATGAGGAACAAGGCAAGGTTTCCCACTCTCTCTGCTTCTATTCTCATAGTACTTTAAGTCTTAGCCAGAGA